AAAAGAAGCCCATCCAAAGTTCGCAAAAAAATGAATAAATCAACCCAAATTATATGAAATTCAGGGACGGCTTCTTTTTTTTTTTTTTTTGACTATTGACTTTTTTTACTTTTTTTAAGTCTGGAATAGCCTTGGCCAGGCTAGGGGCCACGGCCTAGCCTATTTTGCTGGATGGTACGCGATGCAAATCCAAAACTATCTGTATTTTCTACTTTTTAGGCGTAAACACATGTTTGGTTGTTAAAAAAAAAGTTTCCTACTGACATACCCATTATTTTTTTATTCTCCCAAAACGTGACCAACATTTTTTTGCCCTAATTGATGTTGGTATTTCATTTCTTCACCTCCATAAGTTCAAAAAAGAAAATAAATATAACAAATGAGATGCTTGCAATTGATCAATCATCATCAGCATGTTAATTCTATTTCCTTCTTTTTTTCTATGTACAACATAGGAATACCTGTCCTTGGTATTCTTATAAGGATGCGTCCACACTACCGAAATATCCTGGGTAGGGAAAATATTTTGTCTACAAAGCTATGAATGCATGCGCCATACGACCATATAGTCGAAACAAATCTGTTAACCCTCTAGATACCGTCTTCGACTGTAATCGAAATTGACCTCAAACCGAGAATTCCCATTTTCGACTGCGATCGAAATTTTGTGACTAAAAAATAGGTGGTTTTCAAATCGCATGCGTGAAGCTTTTGTTTTTCGAAATCTGTGAAGAACTCACATGCGCTTATATAAATATTTTCAGAAATATCAATTTGAAATCGTTATTAATTTCAAATTTTTTTCGAAATTGCCGCACAAGATGTGTACACAGCTGAGCAAGCGATTGACCTGATTTTTGATTCAGACAGCGATGAAGGTGAATTTTTAGATGTGCGAGACTTAGACGTGCCTGTTAGCGATAATGACGGTGGGGCTTCAAGCAGTTCTGGCGGCAGAGATATTCTAGATGAAGATGAGCCTAGGCCTAGAAATGTGAGGGTAGTCGACGCTTTTGAATGGAAAGATCGCGCTTATAGTTATGGATGGTTGGGTAAATAAATTATATAACTGTGTAGAATAGGAATGTTTTATATTTGTTTTTATTTTTTTTTGGGCTATAATTTATTTTTTTTTCGGTTTTTGATGACGATTTATATGTAGCATTTTTCTGTCATTTCTATTATATTATATATATATTATATTATATTATGAAAAAAAATTCCCAAAAATATAAATTATACATCAAATGAAAGCTTATTCTATAAGCTTTCTTTGTTTTTAGAAACATTTTTCTGTATAATTTACAGAAAGTTCCCAAAAATCCACCAGAACGACGTATACTCAAAAAAAGCAAAAAACCTTGTTACACTGCAAAAGAATCCGGTATTCAAGGGTTTGCACTACAAAAGAATCCGGTATCCAGAGGGTTAATAAGGCCAAAAAAAAAATATACTTATTTAGCAGGGGTGGGGAGAGGGGATTTTTAAAAATTTTTTAAAATTTTTTTGGCTGTCCTAGGCCTAGCCTAAGCCCTACTGTGCTTCTTAGGCCTAGATTTCAAAAATTGCACTGGTACCAAGCCAAATCTTTGATAAAGGTCATAACAGACACTAAATTTTACATATTAAAAGATTTGTTTGTACAATATTTATTTTAATAGGCATTGTGGTTTCGTAGGCTAACTGCTGCAGTGCTAGGCTAGGCCCCTAGCCATAGGGGTCTAGGCCTAGGCCTAGTTTCCAAAGGCTAGGCCTAAAACATCTGCCAATTGAAGCGTAGGTCGTAACCTATTGTTTTTCTTCATAGTACTTTATTATCATATTTAAAACATTGTTTATTATCTAAAAAGAACTAAATAAAAACATGTACGGCTACTAATACTATACTACCGATCAAATCGTCTGCGATTTCTGTCAACAAGCACATGTGAGAGAATCAATTTTTTTTTCTGCAGAAAAAAAAGACACACTTGTAATGTTGGTGGCGCACTTCACATCTTGTTCCCTGTGCTGAAGATGACTTTTCATGACTTTTTTTATGAAAAAAAAAAAAAAATGAGAGGAGGCGGCTAGAAAATCAGGGTCGGGC